CTCCTGCGTGTCCTCTCTGTCCCGCGCGACCCCTGGATTGCGTACTCTTGCTCCCGACCTTCTGGGCGGGGCCCCGCGCTCCTGCCCGAGGTCTGGATGGGTCTCCTGGCTGGGATTCGGATCACTTGGAGTTAATGTCCAACTGGGGGTCTACGGAGACGGGATCCGAGGTAAGAGGGGGAAGCGTGCTGGACCGGGCGGGTAGCGGCGGGGGCGGAGGCTGAAGCCCAAGCGGGCAACTTAGTGTAAAGTAGGAATGCTAGCGGGAGCTCAAGAGACAAGCTGAACCGGAGGGACACTAGCCTTGCCGAGGGTAGGTTGCCTTTTCCGCGTGGAAAAAAAAAAAATTCTATTGAACTCCTGGTGCCCTGGAATCCTGAAAAGCCCGGGGCGGCAGGGGTGGGGGACAATTCCCCTGCCCCACTCAGTAGGACACTGCTCCGTGCGGTCCTGGAACCATGCGAGACTTGGCTATCTACTAACCCACTGCAGCCAGTGTCTTTTCCAGAGTGCAACTGCAGCGTTATCGTAGCTCAGAGTATAACTTACTGTTGAGCTTGTTCTGGTCTGTTCTGGAAGAAAGCTAAGCCCGGGGAAGGAGGGCTGCAAAGGTGCTGTGAACCTAAAAATAGAGGGCTCACCTCCTCTAGCAAAATCTTGCAAAGCTGCATTCCTACCGCCCTAGGTCCTTTTTCTAGCACTTTGTTAATACCCTTATGCGGGTCGAGATTAGAAGGGCTTCTTGCAGCACCTCGGCCCCAGGGTTCTGTCTGGAAAGACTCTCGGGAACCCTCCAGGTCTCCGCTAGGCCTTCAAGGTGATTGCTTTAGTTGCCTCTTCTCTCCAGCAACTCGGTGTCTCTTCCCCAAGACACTCCGCCCCCGCCCCACCACACACAAACAACACACACACACACACACACACACACACACACACACACACACACACAACTTTGTACCACTTCTAAGCGTAGACTCCTGAATGGGTTGATTTGCAGCCCCACCCAGGGAAAAGGAACCCACGAATCAGGGTTCCCTGCCTGGAGCCTCTCCTGTGGCAGAACCTGCCTTCAGTGCGGATAAGCGCGCCCTGGGAAGGTTTGACACCACGTCAAACGGCGCTGGCAGTCCCTTGAAGACATGAGGGCGCTAAGAGTGCAGGCTGGTCAAGTTTTTTTGCTGTTTGACCGGGATAAAGGCAACTCTGCCAGTCCCTTCAGAGACTGCATTAGAGGGCAGAAGACTCACTCTTCCTCCTTATTGTGAATCTGTGTTTGTTTAGGGAAATGCAACCAACCCCTATAAGCGTGCACCTCCTCCCACCAAGCCTTCAAAAAGGCTTCTTGCCCTGACCATACCCACTCCGTTTCTCTGCGCTTTGGTGGGGGAGGTGTCTTTTAAACAAGTAACAAGTGTCTAGAGTCAAAAAAGCCCTCAGCATCTCTAGCTTGGTGCTGCAAGAAATTGGAGTGCTCCGGGGCCTAGAACTCAACCTTGGGTCCTCCAACAAACGGAGCCCCCTTCGGCTTGCCTTTGAGAGCATCCCATATGCTTCTCCCTTTCTCCAAAAGCATCCTAAAAATTTACCCTCTTCTCCATCTTGGGCTGGTCAGTTATGGGGGAGTGGTAAGAGAATGCGTCCTTAATCAAGGACGCTGAGCACAGTAGACAAAAGCAACAGATCTTTTAGTAATGTCTGCCTGGACCCTAGAGAAAACACCCGAGTTCAGAGTGCACTCTCCTCCCACGCCACCAGGTCTTGAAAGCAAATCCCAAACCAACTTCCCACCCTGCCCTCCCCAAAAGGTGCGGGGGCCACTCACTGGCGACGCGAGCAATCACCCACTACAAAGCTGTCTCGGTGACAGAGGATCAGGGTTTCTAAAAGCAGGTTGCCAAGAAACCACCTCAGGTCAAGTGCGGAGAAAGGGGATGGGGGAAAGGAACCGGAGTTTAGAAACCTGAAAAGTGGGACTTCGCATAAGGACACCTACAGGTCCTTGGGCTAGCTTGGGGGATAGACGGTAGACACAGTGGTTCTTCTAGGGTTTTATATTAAAATGACAATTCAGCCTACCCGCCGCGCAAGCACTACAAGGCCCGAGCGGTTTCTGGTGCCCCCTGGTGCCGGGAACTCAGAATCGGTGAGCGGCAGTTTGGCAGTCACTACCGCGTCTTTCCGCGCATCCTTTAACCCCCAGTCCTGGGACCCACCGCGTGCCCATGTGCGCAGCACAGGCCTTTTGCCTTGCTGGGATGAGTTGATCCCGGATGGAGAGGAGAACCAGCTTTCTAAACCCGAGAGAGAACGAGGGGTCATTTGGCAAAGCCAACCTCGGAGTGAAAGCTCGGTCCTAGCACCAGCAGTGCCCTTAAGCTATTCGCACGCGAGGCAAAGGCCAGGCGTGGTGGGGACAGGTCCAGACAGTGCTTTGGGGTAGAGAGCAGCAAAGAGATAAGCAGGGATGCCTCGAAGCTGGGCCCAGATGGATTCCTGGGAAGAACCCCCTAGAAGACGCACACCCCATCTTTTGCCCAACTAAAGGGCGACATGGAGAGGAGTGGGCCCCCCGACTCCCAGCGAAGAGCGCGGCCACCCGCTCCGCCTCGGGATGGGAGGGAACGCTTTCGGGGCGCCCTAGGATGAGATGGAGAGCCTCCTCTAGCAAGGCGGAGAGTGAATGTTCCACTGTTTTCCTCCTTTGCCAGCGTCGCCACAGTTCTGATAGAGGCTCTTCACGTCCAATTTTAAAAGCTCTCCGTAAGCCAAACTGGAAAAGGGGGCAAAACCCTCTTAATGCGGAAGGGAAATCTGGTGCCTCCTCAGCTTCCTGCTGGCGGGCACGGCG